TCCATTAGTGGCCTCCAAGGTAGCCGACTGTGGTTCAAGTTCCAGACGTGGCAGCATAAAACAGGCCAGGTGCATATGTGTGCGTGCTCAAGATCCTGAGAGAATGGAGAAGAAGGGATTGAGGCGTGGCCATCCCCCTAGGAGATGATTTCTCGCTTTCTGTCTCTATGTCTCGAGTGAGTGCACACACCCTAGAGCAAAAATCTCCCTCTCAAAAAAGAATTATTTATTGAATTTAACTTATTATTATTATTATTATTATTACTTTTTAAAATCCGACCACAGAGAGACGAGAGAAAATGAGAAAGCAAGCCACCAGGTCCATGACTCAAACCGCCATTGGCCATGTGGGAGTCCAGCGCCTTTAACTACAACACCACCTGCTCGTCCCATTATTGAAATTTAAGAATCATCACAGCCTATCAAAGTATCAGTTACTGTTTTATTCAAGGCAAAGTTGTGCTTGACCTACTCAGGAAGTAATACTTGAATTCATAGTTACTGTGATAACACTGACAACAAAAATGCCTCAAATTCAATTTACCATAATAATCTCATTATTATAACTCTGAAAACTCTGGAAATATTAACCAAACTCAGAATCTTACAACTTACCAGAGTTGCTAAGGACATCTTTTGCCCATACATCACATATTTGAAAATAATGTCCATTCAAAACTGTTAACACACAACCAGGGTCCTGAGAGATGCTACCACTTCAATTTGTGAGACCATTCATCATTGATCTTCCTCTACAGCCATGTTTCAGTTCCTCTGCCACAGGCACATAATCACTAGGTATTACTATTGTTTGAATAGTTACAGTTATTACTGCCATCAGTAGGAAAAATAGGGACCGGCCCCTGGCAAAATTCTATAATGCTGGAGCCACATGGGAAGGTGTTGGGTTCATGTCCGGAACCTCCCTGAACATGCGATTGGTGCAATCCAGCCTGGCTGAGGTGGGGAGTGGATCCCAGTGTAATAACACTGTTGGGGGTCTCAGTGCTCAGCTTTCCCTCTCATGAAAGAAATAAATAAGTTTTCAAAAAAGATGAGAGGCCAGCAGCCTGGTGATGAAGGTGCTGGATTCCCACATGGTCCTCACAGTTCCAGTCCAGGATCTAGCGCTTGAAAATCACACTAGGCGCAGTGCGTACCTGCCCAAAATCCAGAGAGGAGAATGGAGAAGGGACTGTGGTGTGGTCATCACCCCAAGGGGACTTTTCTCACTTTCCCTCTCACAGTGCACCACTCCCTGTAGCCACACACAAAAAAAGAGAGAGACACTTGTAAGTACCTAAACAGAACAGTATCAAGAGACCCTAACCCGTCCCCGCTTCTCACCCCTCCGACCCTGGACAGTGTGAGGGGCAGATTCCCAAAGCCAGAGGTTAGAGCCCAGCTAAGCGGGAACAGAAACTCAAAGTCCTCCCGTGGTCCTAGAGAGGACCCCAAAGCGCAACGCAGTCGCAGACGGCGGGTGTTGCCGCACTTCCGGCTTTTGTGTCGCTGTCTCTGGGCTCTGGCGACCGGAGGGCCTGGGATAGAGTCCAGCGCCCTTGGAGCTTCCAGTCACATCCCTTTTCTATCCCAGCACCCCAGACTTTTCCGGTGAGACCTGGGTCCGGCCGGGTAAGATGGGCGGGGACAGATGGATGTCTACGGCTGTTTTCCGCATCGCCCACTCCACTGTCCCCGAAGGGGGTGGAGGGTCCCAGCCTAGGCTAGGCGGCGGGAAGCGCTGTATCCCTGCAGAGACATTCGGGATCTAGACGGGAAGGAAACCAAGTTATGGTTTCCCGAATAGGATGAGCTGCTTCTAGGACCGCAGAGAGGCAGCTTGCATGCCCTTCGCGGCTCCCAGGGCCTCGGTTTTCACCTCCGAAAAGTCGTGGACGCAGAGAACCTAGTCTAATTTCTGTGCTCTGCGATCGTCCCCTATTGTTTTCCCTCTGGTGAAAGCTTTTTTTCTGGGTTTCTAGGGACCCGGAGAAAAATTCCAAAGGCTTTAGAGGATACCAAGTTCCATCACCTCCTTTCTCTCTAATTTTTCTTTCTCTCCCTCACTCCTCTCCCTCACCCTTTTTTAGTGGAAAGGCATATAAACCTTATAGATGTCTGCAAACCATCTGTTTACTCCCAAATCCACCACCGTAAGTGATGATGACTGAAGAGTGAATGTTACAGAATAAAGAAGTGATTGTAATGCAGTAGGAGAACATATAAATGCTTCACCCTTTTCCTTTCAGTTTCAGAACTTTCTGAGGGCTTTTTATTGTTTTAATTTTTTATGTATTTATTTTCTAGGTTGCCACAGGAAGCGTGTGCCTGACAGAGAGAGACAGAGAGGGAAAGTAAGAAATCCCCCAGGCTTTTGGGCGCACACATAGGCACACAGGCGTGATTTTCAGGCTACCACACCCAGTACTCCCAACTGTGGTCGGCATATGGGAATCCAGTGCCTTAACCACCAGGGCAACTGCTACCTCCCCCTCCCCCAGGGCTTTTTAAATGAGTGATTTGGGGGCATTAGATGGATTTTTCAGTTATAGAAAATAACTGCTTGACTTGGAGGAGTAAGTGATGAAGGGAGTGTGTGGGTGGTACAATGGAAAGTGCTTTGGAACATTAAGTTGGTTACCAGGGTGGTTCAGATGTAGTCTCTACCACTGATTAGCTGGATGATCTGGGACAAAACACATAGACTCAGCAAGTCCTAAATTTGCCCTAAGTAAAATAAAATAGATGATCTCAAGTGCTCCTCCAATTTTGAAATTCAGTGATAGGCCGAATTTGGCTGTGAAAAACTCAGGCCAATGCCTAACTACCTAATGCCCCACCTACATTTTCTGCTGTACCACCAGTATGTTGAAAGACTACCTGTTGAGAGAAGCTGAGTGACAGAGGACCAAAGAACATTGTATAGGCCATTGCTAAGTAGACCATAAGCAATCAGTAAATGAATGTGGAATAAGCAGACTGATGAAACCTTACTATTTGACAGAAAAATGGGTTTACACAAGTAAGTAAAAAAGGAGACATTTATTTAACTTGCCTTTATATACGTAATTTATTTGTTTTTGGTTTTGTTTTGTTTTGTTTTAATTTTGCCAGAGCACTCTTGGACTCACTGGAGAAAGAGAAAGTGAGAAATCACACCTTGTTAGGAATAGTCACTCTGCAAACCTCTCCTCCATCTCTCCCTCATTTCAGGATTTGGGGCACTCATGCACACACACACACACACCTGGTGTGTTTCTCAAAGCTCTGGGTTTGGGACTCAAACTACTCAGTTGGTCACATGAGATCCAACCACCTTAAATACCACAGCAGAGGCTGGATCCCTCCTGTTCTTATTCATATGTTTTGTAAGTAATCCGACTGTTTTGATGTAGTAAAATCTCTTAATTTATAAATGATATGCCTTTCCCAGTGTTTAAATACTAGGCCTAAAATGAATTTGCTAAACTTTCTACAAATGAGTAGAAAAAGTCGAAATGTTGTATCCATCTGAAAAAGATTAATTTTTTTATTATTGCCACTGAGTAGATAGGCTTGCCAGAGAAAGAAAGAGCACTGCTGAGTGGGGTGTAGTCAGGCCGCAGTCCTTTTTCCTCCATTTCTCCAACCCATCAAGGTTTTGGGCATGCATGAACACATGCCTGGTGTGTTTTTCAAACAAATGGGATCAGGATTCTAACCGTGATTACCATGCAAGGTCCAGTTTCCAATGCACAGTGCTTAACCATTGTGATATAGAGCTGGCCATTGAACAAAATATTTTTTGAGAGTTTTGCTAAAGGGCGCGTGCACTCACCAGAGAGATAAAGACAGAGTGAGAATTCACCCCTTGCGGGGATGGCCATGCCACAATCCCTTCTCCTCTATTCTCCTCCTGGGATCTTGGGCACCACACACACTGTGCCCAGTGTGAGTTTTAAGTTGCCAGATCCAGGACTTGAACCACATTCCATTATGTGGGAGTCCATTGACATAACCATTATGCCATCTGCTGGTCCCTGAACATGTTTTTTTTAAATATCTCCTAGTTGTGGGGCCAGCAGGTGTTATTGTGGTTAAGCCCCTCAACTTCCACGTGGTGGATCACAGTTCAAGGCAGCTTGAGAGAGTCTTTTCTCTTTTTTTAGAATTATTTTATTCTACTTCATTTATTTATTCTTTTAAACTTGACCAGAGAAAGACAGAGTGAGAAGGAAAATAAGAAAGCAGACTGCCAGGTCCAGGACTCAAACCGTGGTTGACTATGTGTGATCTCAGCGCCCTTAATCACCACGACTCCTGCTGGCCGTGGATGGCCACTGAGAGACAGTTTTTATTATTAATGTATAGTCTATTTCAATAAGGCAATTAAATTTTAGACCAGCAGGTGGCGTGGTGGTTAAGGCATTGAACTCCATTCCCTCTCTGGCTTTGTGTGTGTGTCTGTTGAGCACGCACGCCCTGCAAATTAACAATAATAATAAAATTAAATAATTATTTAAAAAAAATTAAATGTCAGGGTAAGAGCTATCAAAATATCACATACTACACCAGTAAAAGACAGACTCTAAAATTAAGAGAGGACTAGGTGGTGAAATCATTAGAAATGTAAGGTAAAACCAAGTCTTTCAATTGTCGTTTCCCCTGAGTTGGGGCTAGAATATACTCCGTAAGAGCCTGCCCAGGTCAGGGAGGGATGACTGTCCTTCTGACTATAGCTATTTCTCTTTGTTTCACTTCTTCCTTGGAGAGCCTTCATTTTGATTCATACTTCTACAAGAAAAGAGGAGTTCTGGGACTTTTTTTTGTTTGATTGATTAGATTTTTGCCATAGGGAGTATGTACTTGCTGAAAAGAGACAGAGTAAAAGTAAGAAATACTCCCAGGAGGGATGGACCCTCTGCAGTCTCTTCTTTTCCATTCTCCTCTCTGGATTTTGGGCATGCACCCACACGCACCTGGTGTGTTTTTCAAACTGCCAGATATGGAACACAAACCGTGGTCGGCCATGTGGGAGTCCAACACCTTAACCTTATCACACTACCTGCAAGTCCCTCTGGGAGTATGTTATTTCCCCTTCCCTGCCTTTATTTTATTTTATGAGAGATTTTTGCTATAACGTGCGTGCACTCAATGGAGAGACAAAGAAAGACAGAAAGACTGAAAGCAAGAAATTACCGCCCTGGGGGGATGGCCACGCCACAGTCCCTTCTCCTCCATTCACCTCTTGGGATCTTGGACACACACACATATGTGCCTGGCGTGAGTTTTAAGCTGCTGGGCCCGGGACTCAGGCTGGGGTTAACTACGTGGGAGTCCAGCAGTATAGCCATTATGCCACCTACTGGTACCCTCCTTCCCTGCATTTAAAACCTTAACCCACATGACCAAAAAGAACCCAAGATTCTTTTCCTCAGTTTTCTTCAGCTACCTGAGACAGAATGGAATTTTCAGGAACAGTATCAGTGAAAAAGAAGGGAATTTAGTAAAGAAAATATAATAATTGGAAAATAAGGATTAAGAGCGATACAAATGGAGCCAGCTACATAGCATAATGTTTAAGGTGAGTGGACCCCGTGTGACCTACTGTGTGGGTGTGGGTGTGCATACCTGAAATCCCAAGAGAATAGAGGATGGAGAAGGGATTGCAACATGGTCATCCCCCTTGGGCAGGATGCTTTCTTACTTTCTTTTTCTTTCGTCTCTCTGGTGAATGCACATGCCCCTTTAGCCAAAAAAAAAAAAATTATAAAATAGTGACACAAATGACAAAGAGAACGTAAATGTGATATGATGAGACAAAAAGGAAAATTAGCTATCAGGAAAAGTTTAATGGATTTCAAGAAAGGGTAGAATTTTGAGATGGATGGAGCTGGAGAGAGAGGTTGTTTCAGGCAAAGAGATGAAGGTGGGAAGTCCCAGCACATGCTGAACAGTGAGGAGGCCAATTTGGCTCAAGCATGATGGAGTCTATGATGAAACAGGAGGAAAGATTTGAAGAGTGTCATGTTATAGCTACTTTTGAATTTTTTTTTTTAATGTTTAAATTTTGAGGGGAGAGAGTCCTATGATCAGAGCTGTTTTGGCAGTACTGTCCAGTCCTTGATCTGGAAAAGGTAGAAGTTGGAGCTAAGAAAAATAATAGATCACTGTAGTAATTTATGCTGGAGGTAATGAGAGCCTGAATTCTGAGTGTAGAGATGGAAATAGAAAGGGGATTTGAGAGACAATCTCTCTGGTGATTCTCAGAAAAATTAATAAGAGAATAAAATAAGATTTATAACAATTACATTTGCTTCCAGTAGTGAAAAAAGTTAGTCAATGCAATGAATCCTTGGAGGATCCTTCTTCCTAGCTATTCTTGGTACAGTTTATTTATCTAATATTATTTATCTTTTTTTTTTTTTTTTAACCTGCAACAGGGTACATACATGCACCAGAGAGAGAGAAGGAAAGTGAGAAAGCAAGCTGCCAGATCTGGGACCCAAACCACAGCTGGCCATGTAAGAGTCCAGCATCCCAACCACCAACTGCCTGCTGGCCACAGCCCATTCCTTCTTGTCACACTAGCTGTTGTTCTATTTTTATTTTACAGGAATCAATTAAGCCATGTGACTAACATGTGACAATTCGTTTAGTAAAACTGATAATATCTGTAAATCCACTGGGTTCACATAAATGGCAAAATAGTACAGTGTACTAAAAGCAAACAAGTGAGTGAGAGTACCTTCATCCACCCCATGTATATAGAAATTTCATTCTCAAAAAAAAAAAAAGATATTTCAGGACCAGCTGGCAGAGTGGTGATTCGGATGGCTGGATCCCACCTGACTGTGGCCTCTGTGTGTGTGTGTGTGTGTGTGTGCGTGTGCGTGTGCGTGTGTGTGTGCCCAAAATCTTGAGTGGAGAATGGAGGAGAAGGAATTGCAGTACTGCAAATTGCTCTGGGGAGTGCTTTCTCACTTTCTTTGTCTCTCTTCAGTGAACACACATGTCTTGTAGGAAATTTTTTTAAAAAAATAACAAGAAAGAGGAACAGCAGGTGGCATTGCCTTCTCTCTTTGTCTCTCTCTAGTCAAGTTAAAATAAAATGAATGAATAAATAAAATTTTTAAAAAATGACAAGAAGAAAAGAAATTTCATTCTCCTTCCAGAGAATATATATCTATGTAATGTGACTGTTCTACTATTCTTTTTTTTAAAGAAGTATTTTATTTAACTTTATTTTATTTATTTATTCATTTATTTATTTATTTAATTTGACCAGAGAGGGACAGAGTGAACAGAGTGAGAAAGAGAGAGAGGAAAAGTGAGAAAGGAAGCCACCAGGTCTGGGACTTGAACTGCAGTCGGCCATGTGGGAGTCCAGCACTCTTATCCACCACACCACCTGCCAGCCCACTGTTCTACTATTCTTATAATAATTATACAGCTTAATTTCTTATCTTTAAAATATAAATACAAGTTCTCTTTTGGAGGGACGTTATATAAGGCACGTGTGCTTGCCAGAGAGAGATGGAGGGAGGATGATGATGAGAAAGCACCCTTTGGGAGGGTGGCCATGGCACAATCACAATCTCTTCTTTAGTTTCCTCTCAGGACTTTGGGCATGCCTGCATATGTGCCCAGAGTGTTTCTCAAGCCATTAGATCTAGGACTCAGGCTGCAAAAGTGGCCATGTGGGATCTAGCCACCTTAACAACCATGCCACTGGCTTGCCCCACAAATTTTATTTTTTTTCCTGTGCCCCAATGAATCATTTTGTACACTTGCTTTGGTGATTTTTTTTTTTTTTTTTTGAGAGGTTTTTGCTATAGGGTGTGTGTGCTCGCTAGAAAGACAGAGAGACAGAAATCGAGAAATCACCCCCCAGGTGGGGATGGCCACACCACAATCTCTTCTTCATTCTTTTCTCACAATCTTGGGCATGTACACACACATACCCAGTATGAGTTTAAGCCACCGTGTCGGGGACTTGAACCACGGTTGACTACATGGCAGTCCAGCGACATAGCCATTACGACAACTGCTGGTCTCGATCACTTTTTTTTTTTTTAAGAGAGATTTTTGCTATAGGGCATGTGCACTTGGAGAGACAGAGAGAAAGAAAGTGAAAAATCACCCGAAAGAAAGTGAAAAATTACCCCCTGGGGGGTGGACCACACCATAATTCCTTCTCTTCCATTCTTCTGAAATTTTGGGCATGTACATCCATCTGTGTCTTTCAAGCCACCAGGTCTGGGACTAGAATCATGGTTAGCTATGCAGGAGTCCAATGTTTCAACCACCACGCCACCTACTGTGGGCTCCTTGGTGATCATTTTTAAGTGACCAGCTTGGAGTTGGCAGGTGGCATGGTAGATAAGGGCATTGGACTCCCACATGGCTAACTGTTGTCCAGGTCCAGCCCTGGACCTGGCAGCTTGCTTTCTCATTTTCCCTCTCCCTCTCTCACTTTGTTCCTTTCTGGTTAAGTAAATAAATAAAGCTAAATAAAATAATTATTTAACAGAGAAAAAAAAAAAAAGAGTGACCAGATCACTTCAGAGTTGGTAGTGTAGCAACATACTTAGGACCCTGGCTTCAGACTTGAGTTTGAGTACTGGCTTTACTACATTATATGCTGTTAGACATATGTTCTAATCTTTCTCAGTTCTGTGGTGGTTTTCTTTTTTTTTTTTTTTAAGAATTATTTTAGGGACCAGCAGTTAACGTAATGGCTATGTCACTGGACTCCCATGTAGTCGACCACAGTTTGGGTCCCAGACCGGGTAGCTTAAACTCATGCTGGGCGTGTGTGCATGCGTGCCCAATATCCCAAGAGGAGAATGGGGGAGAAGGGACTGCAGTGTGGCCATCCCCCCTGGGAGGCGATTTCTCGCTTTCTGTTTCTCTCTCATCCCCCCTTGGGGGTGATTTCTCGCTTTCTGTCTGTCCCTCTCTGTCTTTCTGGCGAGCACATGTGCCTAAAACTCTCCAGCAAAAGAAGAAAAAAAAAAAGAATTATTTTACTTTGGGGACCAGCATGTGATGTGGTGGTTAAGGCACTGGACACTCCCACATGGCCAACCACGGTTCAAGTCCTGGACCGCTTTCTCACTTTCCCTCTCTCTCTCACTCTGTTCCTCTGGTCAAATTAAAATAAAATAAATACATAAATAAAGATAAAATAAAAATAACATAATTCTTTTTTTAAAAGAATTCTTTCATTTAAAAAAATTTATTCATTTATTTCAATTTGACCAGAGAGAGATAGAGAGAGAGGGAAAGTGAGAAAGCAAGCCACCAGCTACAGGACCTGAACCATGGTCTGCCATGTGGGAGCCCAGCGCCCTTAACCACCTCAGTTCTGTTTTCTGTTTGTAAAATGGGAATATTAATCGTGGTTACCACGTGCACTTCCTGTTGGTATTAAGTGAGCTGTATATGTAATGCATCAAATCTGCCTGGCACACAATCTAACATGAATGACTTAGCCAGCATTTATCATGTCACACCACTTGATTTACTGAATTGTCTTTATGAGTGTTTGTACAGATCATTAGAATAACAAATACAATGTTGCTTTTTAATACTGCTGTTAAATTTTTCTGTCCTGCAGGATAGCAAAAACCTATCTTATAAAGCCTCCTGGTCACAAAAAACAGCCTGGCCAAGCAGACCCTATTTGATCCAGTGTGCCGGTTCGTTGGACCTGAATAATGATTGCTGAGTCAAGTGATACTATGGATTTAGCTCCCCAGGAGATGGAAGGTATAGTGATAGTGAAGGTGGAAGAGGAAGATGAATATGAGTATGAGGCAGACCATTTTCAAAGAGAACAAAATAACATAAAACCATCACCACAATATCCTCGTCGTTCTACATCTATGAATGAAAGAGCCTTGTTATCATCATATTTAGTCGCATATCGAGTGGCAAAAGAGAAAATGGCCCACACAGCTGCTGAAAAAATTATCCTCCCAGCTTGTATGGATATGGTACGTACAATTTTTGATGATAAATCAGCTGACAAACTACGAACTATACCTCTTAGTGATAATACAATATCTCGTCGAATCTGTACAATTGCAAAACATTTAGAAGCAATGCTTATTTCACGGCTACGCTCTGGTGTAGAATTTGCAATCCAGCTCGATGAGAGCAGTGATATTGTAAGTTGTCCAGCACTCTTGGTTTACATCAAATATGTGTGGAAAGATGATTTTGTAGAGGATCTCTTATGTTGTTTAAATGTGAGTTCACGTATAACTGGATTAGATTTATTTATTGAATTGGAAAAGTGCATTGTTGGTCAATATAAATTAAGCTGGAGAAATTGTAAAGGAATTTCAAGTGATGGAGCAGCAAATATGACTGGAAAGCATAGCAGAGTTATTGAAAAATTGTTAGAAGCAACGTATAACTGTGCTCTCTGGGATCACTGTTTTATTCACCGAGAAGCTTTGGTATCTAAAGAAATGCCACCAAGTCTAATTGATGTATTGAAAACTGCAGTGAAAATTGTTAATTTTATTAAAGGAAGCTCATTGAACAACAGAATTCTTGAAATATTTTGTTCAGAGATTGGAGTTAACCATGCACACTTACTGTTTCATACAGAAGTTCGTTGGTTGTCTCAAGGGAAAATATTGAGCAAAGTATATGAACTCAGGAATGAGATTTACATTTTTCTTATTGAGAAGCAATCTTATCTGGCAAATATTTTTGAAGATAATATTTGGGTAACAAAATTGGCATACTTAAGTGATATTTTTAGCATTCTTGATGAGTTAAATTTGAAAATACAAAGGAAAAATAATGATACATTTCAATACCTTGAACATATTCTAGGATTCCAAAAGATGTTACTATTGTGGCAAACAAGACTTAAAAGTAATTGCCCTAGCTACTATATGTTCCCAACATTGTTGCAACACATTGAAGAGAACATTATTAATGAAGACTGCTTAAAGGAAATAAAATTAGAGATATTGTTGCATCTCACTTCTTTGTCTCAAACCTTTAATTATTACTTTCCAGAAGAAAAATTTGAATCATTAAAAGAAAATATTTGGATAAAAGACCCATTTGCTTTTCAGAACCCAGAATCAGTAATAGAATTAAACTTGATGCCTGAAGAAGAGAATGAATTATTGCATCTCAGTTCATCATTCACACTGAAGAATTATTACAAGACATTGAGTTTGTCAGCATTTTGGATTAAGATTAAAGATGAATTTCCATTACTAAGTAGAAAGAGTATATTGCTGCTAATACCATTCACATCTACCTATTTGTGTGAACTAGGATTTTCAATTTTGACACGATTAAAAACAAAGAAAAGAAATAGGCTTAATAGTGCACCGGACATGCGGGTGGCTTTATCTTCATGTGTTCCTGACTGGAAAGAACTTATGAAAAGGCAAGCACACCCATCACATTAAATAAAGTCTTTACAAAGTTTTGTTTCTGTACTTTTCAATTTTTTATTTTATTATTATTTTTATAGTTTCTTGCTATAGGGCATGTGCACCAGAGAGAGACCGACAGAGAAAGAGGGAAGTGAGAACTTCCATCCTCCC